GGTCCCGGGGCTGCTCCTGGAGCGTCGTGGCCGCGGCGCAGCACCCGGGCCCTGGGACCCGCCCGAGAAGCTGTGGCTGCCCCTGGATCCCTGGCAGTGTTCCAGGACAGCTTGGACGGGGCTTGGAGCCACCTGGGATAGTGGAAGGTGTGGCTGTCCATAGCAGGAGGATGGGCTCGATGCTCTTTGAGGTCCCTTCCAGCCAAAGCTTTCCGTGGCTCTGTGAGTCTGTGCTTACAGGACGCCTTTACTGGCTGCAGAAACCCGCAGGGTACCTGCACACCCAGACATGTCTGTTATAGATACATTTTATATTGTTGGCTTTTCACAAATATTAAAATGAATGTTATGTGTATAAGAATGAGAAATTTTGTTGAAACCCGCAGGGTACCTGCACACCCAGGCATGTCTGTTATAGACACATTTTATATTGTAAAATATAAAGCTACCCCATGACATTGGCTTTTCACAAATATTAAAATGAATGTTATGTGTATAAGAATGAGAAATTTTGTTGTGTTAATATAGTTTAATTTATTTCTGTTATTGATGGAATTTAGAAATAGTGGTATAATACATACATGTTAGGCTATGGCATAGTATTAAAATAAAAACTGCTTTTGTTTGTAGAACCCAAAGACTGAGGAAAAAAAAAAATAGCTAGAGTACTCCTGCATTTGTAAACTATCTTAGCCAGATGAAGACAGCAGTGACCAGAACTCTGGGGGAGGAATTTATTGCATTTCTGGTATCAGAGAATGTAAATCTCGATGGCGCCAAGAGGATTGATCTATTGGGAAGGGGGCAAGAGAAAACTAAACAGAAGAACACCAAAGATCCTAAGAAGAATGTATGAATATGTATGAGAATTTATGGATATGTAGTAGGGTTCTGTTTTTAAGGGACAATCCTTTGTTAGTGAGGTGTGCTCTCTTGGCTGAATGCAGAGACACCTGGCCGTATCTGTATACTTTACTTACTTTTTTTCTCCTAATTGTTTTTTTATTAAACTTTTAAATTCTATAAAAATGATGTGAACCTCGTTTTTCACAATGTCCTTTTTGTGTCCCCAGGGAGGGCACCAGCCCCCTGGAATGTGTGTGGGGGGCTCGTGTCTGAGCTGACACCCGTCGCTGTCCCAAGGGAACGGGGGGATTTCGGTGACTGTGGAGGCCTGGCCTGAGCTCCTGCTGCAGCAGGGCCACCCACAGCTCGTTGGCCAGGGCTGTGTCTGCACACATTTTGAGTATTTCCCATAATCCACGGCTCCACTGTTCCCAGGAATCCTTCTCCTGCCCACTGCAGGCTGTCAGCACTGGCAAACTTTAAATATCACCTTGAGCCTTACTTACTTGTGTCCCTTCCTGATATTTCTACCAGGTTTATTTCCTGTCTACCTTTTCCAGGTTTTTATCCTCTGGCAAGTGAGGAAATCCCATTTTCAGGAGGCCACAGGGGTTTGGAGGGAGAGCCACGCTGGCTGATGGCACCTCAGGCTTTAAACCTGAGGGAACCCATGGAATCCCCGACTCACTTTGCCCTGGGAGGCACCAGCTTTGTCACCAGAGGGCAGGAGACCTCTCTAATAAAGCTGCCATCGGAAAAAGTGCTGGAATTGCTGGGTTTTTAAAGAAAAACAACGTTTATCTGTTGCTTTTAGTGACGCTGACAGAGTTGGGTGGGGTTCGTTGGAGTAAAAACCTGCAGGAGGGTTTTGGATGTGGTGTTACAAGGGAGGGTGGATGGACCTCAGCCTCGGGCTGCATCCAAATCCTCACCCCAAACATCTGGGATCCAGCACAAATTTGATGTATTTTGAGTGTTTTGCACTCCTTCAGCCAAGTGAAGGGCTCGTGCTGGGGAAACCAGGGAACCCCAGAGATGCTCCAGTGGGGGGACGTGGCTTTTCCAAGCCGAGAGCTTGGCACAGGAGGGAAGGGGAATTGCCATCCCACCACTGCAGCTGCATTGGAGCGTGCTGATACACCCAGAGTGAAGCTTTCCCCCCTTGGATCCATCCCCCAAATCCCCCTGGTTCTCCCCCCTTCTCCCACCTGTGACACAACCAAACAAACCACGCAGTCCTGTTTTTAAAACGGGGCCTTTCTCCATTTTATTTTGCCCAATAAAAATCCTTCACAGTCAGGTCGAGAGAGGAGAGCTGGAGATACGTATACATATAGATCTGCATGTCTATTTATATATATACATACCTCTGTACAGATATATTTATATATTCACCGTAGAAAATGGCAAAGGCAGTAGCTCTTCACATCTGGAGAACCCAATGGGAACAGACAACAGACCAGCAGGGAATTGGGAAGTGTGGTGGAGTTTTGACAAGAACCTCTGAAACAGATACACCTTGGCTGTACAAAAATCCCAGCGTGTTTACCTATTTTTATTTTTATTTTTTCTTTTTTTTTTTTTTTTTTTTTTTTTTTTTGTCAACCTCTTGTCTTTAAACACACTTAACCAGAGGCAGAGTCGAGACAATGGCGTTTGGAAGTGACCAAGTGGACAGGAGAGACACCCGACTTTATGGAGTTATTTTTTAAATATTTTTGTTATTTTTTTTTAAGTATATATATATTTTTTTATATATATATATAATTTTTTAATTTATTTTTTAGATTTTTTTTTTAGTTTTTAGATTATATTTATTTTATTTTTTTTAGATTTTTTTATTTTTTATTTTTTTGCAAAGTCTCAGCAACAGTCGACGCAGAAACAGAACAGTAACGGAGTCGAGTTCAGAACACTTCTGGTTTGAATTCACAGTCAGAGGAGAGAGAGAAAGAGAGAAAGAGACACCAAGGTGTCAGGAAACGAGAGGGAAGAAAGCACAAGGCTGGGATTGAATTTACACTCGGGGAGGTCCGGAATGGGACGAGGGGTCTCACACCTGCAGAGGGGCACGGCCCAGCGCCAGCGGAGCTCCCGTTATTGCTGGTGAAGTCGGACAGCAGCCTCGCCCCACCTGCCCTCCTCCCCGTGGGGAGCTGGGCTTTGGGGGGACAGCTATGGATCTGCTGCAGAACGGACGACTCGGCGACGTGCGTGGGTTTGGGGCGAGGAAAACCTCCCCAGCGTGGTGCCCGGAGCGAGGCAAAGGCCAGCGCGGCTCCTCTGGGCTCACAGCGATTACCGGGTCCCGGAGAGTGCAAACGAAGACACCTTGGAGGAGCCACGGGCTGGGCTCTGCGGGGACACGGCTGCCTGGGAAGGGACTGCATAGACACATCAGCCGGGTGTGCAGCATTGGGTGGTGCTGGGACGCTCCTGCGCCGCTGCCGGAGCTCTGCCCGCACCCGTTCCGCTCCTTTCGGTCACGGGAAAGGGGTGAAGGGGCCTTCTCCTCCGAGCCTGGCTCTCAGGAATGGCAGAGCACGGTGTCCCCACTGGCTGTCACAACGTGGCTCGGTGAGCTCAGACACCCCAGTGGCTCCCCCATGGAGCAGACCCACTGCAGGGACCCTGTCTCAGCCGTGGATGGACACCAGGAGGGGATGGGTCACACCTCATGTGTGTCCAGGCTGGTGGCCTGCTGGATGCGGCAAGCTTTGGGCTCTCCAGATAAATGGGGCCACCAAGCTCAGACCACTGTGGTTATTTAGAGCCATTCTGGACCTTGCATCCCTTTCCAAAGGAGTTGAGGCCAGGGCTGGAGCTATGAAGGTATTCACAGGAATGTTGGCTTGCCTGCAGATGTCAGAATTGGGAAAAGTCCCTTTTAAATCTCCCTGGAAAAA